TGCCGTTCTACCGTTTGAACAGCAAATGAAATCTCATGATGGTTAAGACGAAATATCCAGATGACACTTGTTGGATGGTGAGGAAGTTTGGACAAAATCAGAAATTGGACCTGAATAATCATGTTGCGAATAATAACCAAGCTTGTACATTGATGTAGATGTACCTGAAAAGTGAAAACTTTCGTAGTCTCGTGATGCGATTACTATTTTGGAGCTTTTAATATGTTTCCTACCGAATTTCAACTTCCATGAAGCGTAACTAGTTCTTTTATTTCAGGAAGTAATGAATTATTCAATGCCAATAAATTGGTACGGAACTTCAAATCCTATTGTTTTGCTGGTGTTTCGTCAGCCGGAAGGAAGCATCAGCTCTTTGAAATGGCATTCCGCAGTGGAAGGCGAGATGTTCAATATCCGACGTTTCATGATCAATAACGGGCTACACCACAGTATGAATTATACCATTAATAGTTAAACCTTTTTCGTACTACCTTATAGTTAAAGTCAAGAAAATAAATTATTGCAAACTAACATTATAGTTAAAAATTTTGACTGCACTACAGTATCTAAAAGCAGAACATCATCAACTGCAAATCAGCAGTATCAGAGGTCATTGGATTTAAACTATTAGCAGAATTAGATGCTTCTGCCTTTGTTGTATGTATGAACTATCGGGCTTCCTGCACTTCGTATTGCAGGTGATTTGAGTTCGTTGATTAAATCACGGAATGCTGGTCACTTGCGCCATCTGTAATGCGCGACGCATCGCGCATGCCGTAACATTCCCATCATACTTCGCGGCTTCCAGTCATCTCTTTCCAAGTACCGCCTTCCTGGCTGGTCATGCAATCTTCCTACAATAATGGTAGGCTGCCAAACGACCTAATCTGTCCCCGAAGATACCAATTGGCTATCATCGTCGACCATCTCCCACTGATGAGCCGAGAAACACCTCTAGCCGATATTAGCCTCTCGTTTCTGCTTTCGATGACAATGTCCTTCACTGCCGTCAGATGTCTAGCCACTGTGTGGGGAACGCGATCGTGACGTGAGATTTCCACGGCTCTCTTAGTGGTAGATTGCTGGGCCTCTTTGGCTTCAGTGATTAACCACGTCTCACAGCTATACAACATTGCTGGCATGATGGTAGAATCAAAGTCGCGGGTTTATTTTCTGATGTTACCAAGAATGACGTTTTAAATGAATGGAAGGCGCGTCAACTGACATTCTTACTTTCTTGAATTTTTCCAGTCTTGTCAGACCAAAATAAATGTATTTATTTGGGAGTTTTGGATATCTTTGCCGTTTGATGCTAACTTGGCCTGCGACACGGCCTCCGATCGCAGTATCTTGTCTTTAATCGTCCCACTCGCACCTTTTTAGTGAGCTCTTGTAAGCCGTTTTGTACCTGACCGGCATTTCCCTATTAAACTCCCCGTCACCAGGGCACATTAGATGGATGAGCTGCTCACCAATGATGCTAATTCCGTCCTTCCAATTACTCTTCCGGTGCTCCATTTCCAAACAAACCATGAAGGATCTCGAAAGAAGGTGTCCATTTTTGCGCCTTTCTCTACGGGAATTCAGTGGTTGTGTCTAACAGTGCGATATTTGTGAAAGACTGAGAGTTGCCTTCCTCTGATTGGTCGGTGAACGGATGTAGATGCTATATATTGCCGATGCAGTCCACAGTGCGTTGCAATCGGCAATGTCGAACACTTTTCGTGATCGACGAAGGTGATTCACTCAGAGAGCTGGTATTCCCTCGAGTGCTCGAGGAGTTGATTTAAGGTAAAGATGTTATCCGCTGTACTGTAACTGGTTCGGTTTCCTGCCGGCTGTCTTGATTTCTGTTTTCCCAGACTCGTTAGCAGTTTGTTGGTAATGACCTAGTTGAACACGTTGTAGACTTGTGAAGTGATTCTTAAAAACTATCTTCTCGCCATTCTTGAGCAGCGCGAAAATTTTTCACTCCTTTCAGCTTAATGACTGTTTCCAGGTATCGACTAATCCTCCCCACTAGAGTCTTCCTCAGCGTCTAACCAAGTGCCCTGATAATTTCAATGATAGGATCGTCTTTTCCTTCATTCATTTGCTGCACGGCGTGTTGTACCTCCTGAGAGTGCACTTCCTACAAGCTGTTAGAACGATGATGGCGACGCCTGCATTTGACGATAAAAACTGGATGCAAATGTTGTTGCAGATAAACTGCATCTCAGACGAAAATTCGTCATCCTTGTTCTTCGGTACTGAAATGGGGACTGATGAAGCGTTAACAATCTCCGACTTTGTCTGAGGATTCTGTGGTCTTCCGCTGTTTCCTCCAATTTTCTTGATCGAAAGGTCTGGAAACCTTCCTTTAGTTTCTGTATGATGACCTTGCAGAGAAGGGAGTCTCTTCTCTGTTTTTCCTCCCTCACTTCTCTAACAAACTCTGTCACTTAAAATAGATCCTTTCGCTCGTTTTGATGGTTTTACCTCTCCTGAATTTACGCAGCGCCTCAGTTTCTGTGTAAACTTTTAGTAGTTGCCGTTGCAGCGGCCTTTCCGGCTCCAATCTGTGCTGAAAATGCGCACTTGGAGCATCGCCTCGTAAATACCTGCGGTCTTTCACTGTGGTTTGCCATCTGCAATGCTTTCTTCTCGATCTTCTATTCGAAAGTTAGCTGTGCTAAAACCCTTCTGTAGTCACTGTCAGTGTTAAATGATGGCACCCTGCCACGTCTTACATGAGGCGACGTCTATGGAACAGTCAGAAATCGATCTCGTCTTCCGTAACAACATATGTCTACCTCTTACCACTGCAAAGATGTTTCGTTTCTGCTCTGGTCACCAGCTCATATCCTGCTTCATTTCGCTGTTCAGTACCTTAACAGCTACCCCTGTTTCATCGGCTTTTACTCGACTGACTTTGGCATCAATGTTTCTCATGATGAGAACATACGTGGACTTTTTGGCCAATGCCAGTTCCAGTTATCGCCAGAATTCTTCAACTTCCTTCTCGTCGGCTGTACTTCTGGAATCATATTTTTGACGATCATCAAGATTCTGTTCTTGTTCAGTTAGAGGCACAGCATGCCCAGTGTTGCTGACTTCACATGCATTAGACGACTTACGAGGACCGCGTTTTTCTGACGTTAAATTCAATTTTTCATATGTTCGTTGCGTCCTCGTCCAATCCTTGCCATATAGACTGCCGACGTTCCAGATGCCTCCTTCTCCTTCACCTTAAATGTTTTGAAGAGAAAGGATGTCGAAGACCGTCTCTGATTTTTCTTCTATTGGCTGGTTTAACGCTTCTTCCCTCACCGGTTTTCTACAGATATAGGACCAAACGGCGAGGGATGTCCGAGACCGTTTATCAAATAAAGGTTTTTTATCTGAGATTCTTAGCGAACTCTCGCCAGTGGAACACTAAACCTGCGCCGGGCAAAGAGTTGAGAAGGACGGAGGGCATTGGGGATTATCGATTCTTGTTGTCATATTAATGACGTTTTGCTATCTGCTGGAAGATCTGATGGCGATCTGGGGAATTTCGTAGCGACGAGTTCCGCAATTCCATCCGGCGTTTACTGAAGTTGTCTCTTCTAACCTTTGACCTGCAGCCTTCTAACCGCAAAACGGCAGTGACATTTGGGCCTTTCTCTTCAAATGGGCGGGAAACATTCACCTCTTCAATAGACTCTCATTAAGTGCTGCGTCTCAGTTCCAAGGAATTTGTCGATCTCGAACCCAGTCACGCCCTAATGGTCTCACCACTGCGTGTCCGCCACTGCCTATTTGTCGCAACTGACCTCCATATATGCAGCTCATTCTCTTATCCACAAACCAGAGAACGAGCAGATTCTTACGCACACTGAATATAACGTTGATACCGTCGAAATTCAGCGCCATCAGAAGCCAGGCTTCTATGTTCCAAGGCAGATCATGGCCTACTTTGCCGATGATGTGGCAGAATTAATGTGGGTAATAATTTTATTTTCATCAGACTGGAAGGCACGCAATGAACAGCCAACAAATGCCTGGTTCGCGATGCTAAGGACTTTCCTTGTTAATTACACATCTCCCTCATTGTGCAACATCATTACTGACCTTATTTCGTTTCATTATGAATTTCACTTATTTACAGAAGCAAAACGACTTTAGTTGTGACTTTAATTACGTTGTCAGCTCAGCCTCGTGCAACTCATGATACTGACGAGATCGAAAATTATACCGGCTGGGTCGTCGCCGGGGTTACCAAGAGCCGCGCAGGCTGTTGGGGACTGAGGCAGACTGCGAAAAATCGGCGATCAGAACCTGCTCGTTGCCCTCTGCCAGCCGGGGGCGTGGCAGCACAACGACGGCTGACGAAG